CTGAATTGATTTGTTTTCTGAAAAGATGATCATCAGAACATTTATAATTATTATTTGGGTATAATAGGAGCTCAGCACAGTTTTTGTGTCTGCTTTGTACTTTCTATTTTTGAATTGAAGATAAGCAGTAAAGCTTATTTTTCATGGACAAAAATATGCCTACTTCTTTGAATTAGAGGGGTTTATCCCATTCACATTCATTTTCATAAAGAATGTATCCTGATTCATTCTTCAGTTCTTTCTTGTTTTTCTTTTTTATTATGTGACTTTTTCCTCTCTCAAGTGATTTATTATTCAGCTAATTCATAATTTGGGTATCATTTGTCTTTAAGAGTTTCAAGAATATATTTGATTATATACATACTTGTCTACCAATTCCAAGAATAAAACATCTCAAAATTAAAAATTCTATTGAATGTCTCTGAACCATATGACTCAACAAATTCCTTTTATTTCCTGTCACCTACTCTTCTTCTTCTTTATGTAAGTAAGATGTCAGACATTTATTTTCAAGTTATTATTTTGTGTTATATAAATGTATATGTAGATTTTTAATATACATCTATTAAGATTTGAGTCTATGGACTTAATTTAAATGTTCACTGCAGTCCTCATTGTGACTTCACTGTTTGGAGTCTACATTTCGATTAATTACTTGGTTTACTAGAGCATGTTTCTTTAATGTGCATATACATTACATGGAGATCTTGTTAAAATGTAGATTCTGATTCGGTAGGTCTGAGGTGGGGCCCGAAGAAAGAGTCTGCATTCCCAGCACGGTCCCAGATGACAGGCTGCTGCGGGACTGTGGACCACTTTGGGTAGCAAGTAGTTGCTTCTCTGAGTATTCATCCCCCCATGAAGAACACATGGATTGTATATTTATGGGCCCTTGAATCTCTGAAAATCTTTTTCTGTTCTTGGCAAGTGAAAGTTTGGCTACGTAAGGAGTTGGGAGTCACAAAATTTCTCCCTCAAAACTCTTGACATTGACTGCAGCCCTGATTTTAGCATCTATATTATTTTAAAAAAAGAAATTGTGAGATCTGTTTGCATTTCCTACTTTCAATATAGCCTTCTTTCAGGGCATTAATAGAGTTCTTAATTTTCCATAAATTTCACAACTCTCATCAGGATATGTTAAGTGTTTAAATCTTTACATTTTGCCTGGTACCAGTGGGCTGTTTATTTGGCAGATTTAGGTCTCTAGGAAGTTTTGTATGTACCTGAATATTGCTTTTCACCCATTTGTTCTGGTTTCTTTTTCAGAAATACAGTTACCCACATATTGGATCTCCACTGTATGACCATGAATGAAATCCCCCATATTCTTTTTTTTTGAGAGTTATTTTTTTGTATTATGGCATGTGTATATATATATAAACTTTTCTCCCTAGCCTGTCTTCTGTATCACTCAATTTTTGGCAGGGTTGATTCTGCTCTTTACTACTTCTAATGAATTTTGAAACTGATACTAACTGCTTAGTTCTAAAACATTTCCTCATCACCTCATTTATTTCTCTCTGTGGTTCTTCTTACATCTTAATATAATTGTCCACAGTCATGTCATTTTATAGTTCATCTAAATTTATGGAGAGCATTTTTTAATGTTATTGAGACTAAAGAGCAGATGCTGTCTGAATTGTTTTTTTGCCACAAATATTTTTCAAAATTAGACACTCTCTTGAACTTTACTGGTAGGATTTCATGATAAAAAATCTTCTCAGAGACACCATTTAAGTTTTGTTCTTGCTTACTGACTGTTGCTGATCCAGTGACCCAGGCTGAGGGTAGCAGAGAGAGCATTTGAGCCACAGCCTAAGCTGAATAGGAAGACTGGTGTCTAATTTCTCCTCTAGCTAAAGTGAAGCCAGTGTGCCTGGCACCAGGAGGATGGCTAGGCCTCCTATCTGGCACACGAATATCTATGTCTTCAGCACAGGTTTTCTTATTGGCAGTTATTGTGTCAACAAAGATTGGCCACCATTCAGGATGCTGCTCCCACCAGGTAGTGGTTCAGCAGCCTCTTGTTCAGGGAAGTGGTCCTTGTTCCCTGGTCTCCAGCCCAGCTTCACCAGGTGGCTTATCACAATTACAGTCACCTTTACACTTTCGGGACTTCCTCTCCAGAGCTAGAAATGACAGTTCTCCCTAATTCCTACAGCTCAGATCACTGAGTCCTGCACTGACACTGTTAACCAGGGATCCCAGCTCTCCACATGCCTAGACAACCTCACAGAGTCCTTCTCAGTTAGCTTCCCAGCCCACCCATCCTTTTCTCCAGAACTCAGCCCTCCAAGCCCAGAGGCTCCATGGGGGCCATGACTTTACACATCTACTTCCCAGGAGGCTATGCTGTACCTTCAGCAATGGGTCTTCTTCTGCCATTTTGATGATTTGCTTCCTAAGCTTTCTGTGTAAATGGACACCTTTCCTAATTTATATTTCTTAGAGTATTTATTTAGGAATTGGTGGGGGGTGAGTGTTTGGAAATAAGTTGTGTCCAAAAGCCAAGTCTGTTACCCTGAAAGTCTCTGTCTTAGGCCATTTGGGCTACTATGACAGAAACCATAGACTGTGTGGCTTATAAACAACAGAAATTGATTTCTCCCAGTTCTAGAGTCTGGGAAGTCCAAAATCAAAGTGCTGGCAGATCTGGTGTCTGCTGATGAGATCCCACTTCCTGGCTCACAGACGGTGGTCTCCCCTCTGTGTCCTCACGTGGCAGAGGGGCAAAGGGACCTCTCTGGGGTCTCTTTTCCTGGGGCACTGATCCCATTCTGGAGGACTCCACCCTCATGACCTAATCACCCTCAAAGGCCCTCGTCCTCCTAACACCATCACACTGAGGGGTAGGATTTCACCAAATGAAATCTGGGGGAATATGAACATTCTGCTCACAGCAGTCCCAGAATTTTTTTTAAATGAGAACAAATTATCTTAGGTGTAATGATTATAGCACTTATTATAGCACATATTCCCCCTCCTTTGCTTTTAAAGAACATGACCTTTCCTAAACAGCAAATTGTAAACTTGAAAAATTAGAACGTTCATTTTCTTTTTCCATTGCAGATTAAATAGACTCTAGATATTGCCTTCATGATTAAAGAGAATCTATTCACGAATTTGTTTGCTTTGAGTTGAGAAGTTCTGGTGAAAGCTAATGCCCTCACTCTCTACCTGAAGACTCCTCAGCCCCTGTTAAATCTTATTTATGAACAGTAGATTTAAAAATATATGTATACCAGTTAAGAATAAATAATACCCATCTGAGAAAACAAACAAACGAAAAACACCACAACTTCTCAGGACCAATACATTCAAGAGCCTAAAAAGGCATAAGTTTAATTCCTCGCCCATAGAATGATGCCTCATCCAGTATCTCTATCTCATTTAATGAGCATATCCAAATTTCCTTTGTGTGCATCAAAATTCTTGGCACATAAGGCAAAGAAATTAATTTTTGAGTTGTTCATAAACAGAGACCCTTTTGGAAAACTTCGAGAAATGTTTTTAAAAAAATTTTCGCAAGTACATTTTCATCTACTTCGGCTTCAGAATTTTTAGTAAAATTATATGTCCATAGACCAAAGTCTAAGACAATTTAAAAGCTGACTGCATCACAGCAACAAAATCAGGTCCTCAGTCCTCATGCTTCGGAACAGTGGGAGAACTGCAAAGCCATGAGTATTTTGACCAACACTAATATTAGGTCCTGAATATGTAGTATTTAGTCAGTTGTGCCTCCTTGTTCAGTGTTTTACTAAACATGGGAGAATCTATGGCCTCATACACGTAGGTCAGACATAATATAAAATAAACCAAATGCATTTAATGATGGGCAAACCCCAGTGATGTAACTATAATTTTTCTGCTCCATTGGAAATCCCTTTGCATTTTTCATAAACAGAATGGCGTTGTTCCTGTTGTTCCAGCCAAGTCCCCGTACACGCAGCAGCATCCTCTCTCTCCTATCAAAGGAAGAAACTTGGGGCATTCTTAGGTATGTTGTGTTCACTACGTGCAGTCAGGCAGCTCATGTGGGCAGTGGTAACTGCCTCCCTCTGTGTCACCGTGGCCTGGGGAGGCTGGAATTTCTGAGTTACAGGGTTGTCTCTGCCAAAGACTTCCTGGCAAGTGTTTTTGTCTGCAAAACAGACACAATAATGAGGACCTCATATGGATTTTAAGAAATGCCCTACACCCTGGAAACTTCTTTTGGAAGACCAATGAAGGAAGAGAGCCACTCTTTCCCTAGAAAAAAAGTTTCCACAGCCGCTCTACACTTTGTCCCTTGTGTAAGACAGTACAAGCTGTTTTTTAAGTACAGAAGAGGACTTTCCATAGAATTACACACTACATCTCTAAAGCCAAGTCCAAGTGGTCCAGTCTTTGAGGTTCTTGAGCGGTCCTTCCCAGCTATCCCGTTGCAGGCCTGTCCAGTCAGGCCTGTAAGTGTGCCTGAGCTTAGCTGGTGAGGGACACACTCTGAGGGTGCTGTGAGGCATCAGCTGAACTGTGCCCCCCCCCCCACAAACTCATGTGATAAGTCCTAAACCCCAGTACCTCAGAATGTGACTGTATTTAACTTCATGTGAACCTTAAAGAGGTAATTACGTTAAATGAGGTCACACGGATGGGCCCTCATCTAACAGGACTGGGTGTCCTTATAAGAAAAGGAGATCAGGACAGACACACAGAGGGGCGGCCACGTGAGGACACAGGGAGGACGTGGCAGCTGTAAGCCAAGGAGGCCTCAGAGGGACCAACCCTGCAGACACCTTGATCTTGGATTTCTAGACTCCAGAACTTTCAGAATATAAATTTCAGACAAATCTAAATTTGTTTAAGCCACCCCGCCTGTGGTGCTTTCTTACTGCTGCCCCTGCAAAGTACAACGCCATCCACGTCTTCCTTACTTGGTGAGACTGTCCTTCTGTGGAGTACGGGAAGACGGAGTTACCTTCCATCCGCAAACACGATGGCTGACGGGATGTCTTCTGTCTGTCCACACTCAGCTCTCTGAGGGAGGTGCCTCTTCTTGGACGTGAAAGTGAACTTCCTTATTTTCCTCTCTGCACTTTCTAATGCAGCAAAAGATGAGCTGCATGAGCAAGAGAACAAGCAAAGTGCAAAGGCAGCCCCAGGGACAGCCCCAGCTCTCTGTGAAGAGGACACCCTGCAGCCCATGCTGCTCCCAGCCACCCACCTGCGACTGTCCAGGCGTGTGCCCCGGCGTGCTCAGGAGGGCCACCTTTTACAGAAAGGGTGGTTGAACTCACTGCTGGTAACCACGATGTAGGCATTTTCTGTGAGTAAGATAGTTTTTGCCATTTGTGGAGGAAAGGAAGTGAACCTCCCTTTGGGTCACATTTTGATTCACATTCAGTCATTGCTAATCTCCCGTCCACCCATGTAACATCTTGTCAGCTGAGGCTTATTTCCAACACCAAGAACGGTGTTGCTTTGTGCTGCTAGGTGACAATATCTGGCCACTGTACATTCGTTCTATTTATTTGTGGATGCTTCTCCAGATTTGGGATCACTAGGTGTAAAAGGCACTCAACCTTTCAGATCTCTAGAGCAGCACGGTAAATGTTGTCTCTAGAATATGAAACATTCACTCGATTCCCATTTTGTTAGTACCAGGTGATAGGCACGTTCTCCCTGGGCTGTCCAGAGGCATGCTTCTGCACACTGCAGGGGAAGCCATGCTTTCACGCACCAGCAAAGCCACGACAGGAGCTCCAGCAGCCAATGCACCTGGCCTGATCTCTCGGTGCCTTCTGGGCTCCTGAATCTTGTCCTTGACTCACTGATGGCAGCCACGCCTCTGACATTACATTCTTGATTCGACTTTTAAAAAGCAAGCTAATTAATATGTGCCTTGGGGATTTACAAAGCTCACAGTAAAATATGTTTTGTTTTCACAGCTGTGCTCAAACGCTTCGACGAGGCCATTTCAAGGGAGATAGCATGATGTAATGTTGGTGACAGCACAACTGCCATCCTACAAAAGAGAAGAGCATTGTGATCTCAATGGAAGAGAGAAGTGAGGCTTTCATCTGGAAGCTCACATCCATTTGCTGCAGTAATTGCAATCTTTGAGCAGCACTGGGAGTGGAAATTACACACAAGCAGCTAAATACAGATGACATCATCTTGCCACTCACAAATCTTATGAGTCTGACAGCCCAGAAGGTGGCGTACACTAGAAGGAATACAATTCCAACTAAATTGACAAATTTTGTGTGTTTTTGAGAGGAAGTATTTTCATAAAGGTTTTCCTCTTCGTCTTTTTTTTTTTTCAGGTTTGGCAATTGCCATACAATAACATTATGACCATGACAAGGAGCCATTAGCTTCCGCCAGAGCCACGCCCAACAGTTCCCTCTGTGTGGGACTATACGAGTTCCAGAGCTCTTTCTCCTTAGAGCATTCACAGCTTGGGGCTCCAGAGTTGCAACAAGTCTGTACATGCACTCTTGTGCTTTAGCCCTCACACAGTTTCCCTGTCCTGCTAATTACTGGGGCTTTTCAGTTAGGCTACCAGAGCTCACACATGCCATACACAGACTGAAGTTCTCCTGGGTCAGAAAGAGTGTTTCCTACCTAATTCTGCAGCTGCTCTTGTGTGTTGGAGGGGATGCTGGACATATTTTTCTATGCTCAAATTCTTTTCCACTAAATGACACACACCTTCTGTACATAACCTGGAGCTCTAGTGTCACTGTCATTCTGGATATGGGATTATGTCCATTTTATGGAACCACCTATACTGGTAATGAGAAAAATAGGAATAAAGGAAAAAGGGGAAATTTCAAAGGAATAAATGCACCCAAACCACAAGGCACTCTTGACACAAATGAGGCTTTGGGGAAAAATCCCCATGTCTCTGATTTGCTGACTCTCATGGCTTGTCTAGTGCATTTACGATTAAGTGAGAAATTGGTTTTACTATGATTTAATCATCAGTTTCTTCACTATCCACTCCTCTTTTGGTGGCTTAACAACCCATGTGTTTCAATATTGACCACCAAAAAGGTAAGGCATTAGCATTACCTTTCCAGGACAGCTGTAATTCCTGGACCCCGTATATGGATGAGATGGCCACACTGCAACAGCGCCACCTCTGGCTAGGAGGACTCACCACAATTCTAAACGACTGGGTCCCATTCTGGTGCTTACACATTTCAGTGTGTCTCATAACCCTGAGGAATGTTTGGAAATACTGGTTCCATGGACCTTCTTAGAGCTCATGGAGAGGATGTCAAACAAAGTGTTATTTAGAAAGAAAAATGATTTAAAATATCAGGACTTGAGAGAGTCTTCTCTCTCTGGGTCCCCAGTCTGGACCTCCCCAGGGGAATCTTGGGCTTTCATCTATCTTTGTTTTCTTATTATAGTCCTGTTACAGCATTAGTTTAGACATAATTTATATTAAATTTAAGTGGAAGTGCATTTCCACTATAATGAGAATTCCCTGGGGTACAGCAATCACCTCTCATTAATCTCGATATTCCCCTCAAAGTACCCATTCAATAAAAGTCTGCTGAATTATGAATATCTGGCTGAATATCTAGAAAGAGCCACTAGAGTATTAATAGTGTGATTCATGAACTTGATATGCATAATCAGGTATACCAGTTGTATGAAATCTTTGGAGTGAAGATATATCAGAATTTTTCAGATTTTCAAAAGTTGAAATAGTTCATGTATTATGTATTATGTAGCACATTATCAGTGTGTACATTTACAAATATTATAAGCAAAAGAATAAATAAAGACTAACCTAACATCAGTTCTGGTTATGTTTTACTGTCAATCTTTCTGAGAACATTTTTAAAATGATTTGTTTTCAAAGCTTTTGGGATTTCAGAATAATGAAGAATCATAGACCTTTATCCAAAGAGAAAAACAAATGTTACTTCTTTTATTAAATTCCTATAACAGACAAAATATTAATTTAAAAAATAGTATAGCTCTATTTCTGTTCCTTTTCAGTTTTTAAAATGTTACAAGTAATTTATAAATAAATGCTCATTACTTAAAACTCTTTTTGTCTTTAAACTGAATTCTAAGAAGAAGGAATAAGTATTGTTCTCATTCTGTGGATGGCTTCTATGGCTTATAGTCTATGCCTTTCCATTCCAGAAACACATCTGTGCAGTAATACAGAAAGCCTTTTCCTTTCAAGGAAAAAGTTTTCTAAACATATTCTGAAGCAAACAAATCTTCAAGGGTGATATCCTTGAGTAAAATGGAGAAAGTTCTCAGGAACAAAGGGTCATCATGAGAGATGAGAGTTTATTTTACTAAACTGCTGTGAGCTTTAGTCTGTTAAAAAGAATTGAGTACTTATTAACTAGATCTGGTGGCTGCTTTAAGTAAGACACATTATCTGGCAAGAGCTAGTAAGGCACTTGTCCTACCTACACAAAAACAGTGGAAAGTGGTGTTAGCCATACTGTTCCTAGCGAATTGGTTCTCATTTTAGTCATCTTTATTTTAGAATAAATGAAATGGCATAGGATATTTGAGTTAGATATTTCCATAATCATGAGTAATCCCTTGCAATCTTTTGCTTGTTTTCAGAATATATCATCACTTTCCTATACAACAGAGCAAATTAAAAATAATGTTTCATTTCTCATTGAACTGTGTTAGCTTTCTCTCAGGGAAAAGGGGGACAGGAAGGGACAGGTAGTTTCCTCACTGGTAATTTTAAAGGGAGACCTACTGTTTACCTAATTCAGTGTGCTTTATAAAGAGTTGTCAGAATTCTGTCATTCAATCAACTCTTATTAAACTGAAAAAGGCAGATTAAATAATTCTTTCTTAACAGCTTTATTTCTTTGCTTAAGTCACATCTTCAGAGAGTTAAAATTAGTTAAGTGGAATGAGCTTTACTTTTTCCCACCTCTAATCATTCTTAGTGCTAATCAGTGCTAACAAGGATTTAAGAGGTAGAGGGTAGGATGAAGGGAAGTATGAAGAAGATATTAAGGCTTGAGTCAGAGCACTGGCTTGGACTTGAGAAAAAGGAGCCAGATTTGGGAAATTTTCAGTAGCATCAACAAAACTGGGTGACCAAGAAGGGTGGAGGTTGAAAAAGAGGGAGGAGTTAAGTAGGATTCTGAAGTTTCTAAATCAGAAGGTACTGTGAAAGAATAACTTGGCTTTCCTCTGGCCAATTGGGAATGACAGACAAGGAAAGAGGCCAAGAGGGAAGGCAAACTGTCTCTGTCCCCCTTTCTGTGTGGCTAGTTCCTTTGGTGAGATCTGTGTGTTGACTCCAAGAATGTTCCCTGATTTTCTGATGTCCTGAGTCAAGCAGACAGTTCTCTGTTATCTAATTCTGCCTCTTCGCACCTCCCAGAAGGTGTTCACCCCATTGTTACCTGTTGCTTTCCTAACTCCCTCCCTACCAAATGCTCAGAGATATCACAAGTTATGGGTGCTTCATTTTGGTTTCTCCAAGGCCTAACACGTTTCTGGTACCCTCAAAAAAGATTTGTGAGTTAGAGACAAAGATGGCATTTCTTCCATTTCAAAGAAGAAAAAGGCTTTTGCTTGAGGTTGGAAAAGCTGCTTCCAGTTTACTGCTTTTCCTTTTCCTTGTGAAAGACAGCAGGGAGGCAGGTGCTCAGGCTCTCTCCAGCCCGTGGATCGTCTCATGGGACCATGTGCAACTTGCTGTGGAAGTGCCACGAGCAGGAGATGTGCCCAGCGGAGAGCCTGGCTCCAGGAAGCTGGCCGTCCCTGCCTCCATTTGTAAGTTCTCCATTCTTCCAACTGCCCAAACATTTCTTGGAGGTCCTAGTGCTAGCAGAGTCAAGTATGAGCATCTTTTAAGGAGAGAACGTGAAAGGAAAATTCATCAGAGGAGAGACATCTGTCATGACACTAGTGGGTATAATCAGAGGCATATAATTTCTCATGATCCAGCCACATATGGGAACCAGGGGGAAAATGGAGTAACTGAAGGAAAGACAACACACACACGCACATACACACACACACAGAGCCAAAGTAAAGATAGATGGCATCATTAAGAATTGGAAATCCTATATTAGCTACTTCCATGTATCTAGGAAACTGTTGGTCAAGATGTCTTTAAAAATGGAAGAATATAAGCAAAAAGCAGCTGTAAGTGCTTTTTTAACACTGAATGCTTAATTGTTCTTGGAAAGGGTAAAAAGAAGACCCTATTCACACGTTACTATTATAAAAGAAAAAAAGATATTTGTAAGGACCTGGCATTTAGTTAAGTGTTTGATATATGATTAATATTCTTGCTGAATATATAAGATTGATGTTTTCTTTCAAAAATATTTCCCCAATTTTAAGAAGAATTACATATGTATACACACACATATGTGTATTTATATGCTATAAACAATAATAGTAAGTTTCAGACTACTAAATACAGTAAAAGATATTGCTGAATACTAAACATAATCACTTAATATACATTACATTCTGATAGGTTTCACACCACCTAAGTCATATCTCACTTTATGGAACGGAGCTCTTTTCAAAAGTTGAAGAGAAAATTGTTTTGTTTTGGCTTTTTGCCTATTTTATCATCATTAACTTTCCTTATAAAACTGAAGGTATATTCCAACATGTGATATAATCACAACAACAGAAATCATGGTAAAAGAGTAGGTAAATTTGAAAAAGTCATACTTTTAATGGAAAACCTGTTTGAAAAACAACATCAATATTTAGGACTCTATATGTAATATACAGACTTAAAATATTATACCAGGAATTATATTCCCTTGAGCCTTGCTAAATCTACAGAAACCAGAAAAGTGTCTTACTTTAAGTTAAACTCATGATTTTATTTCTACCCCAAGGCAAAATATTCATTGTTTTCAAACCACAAGCTTATCAGAAGACATTTATTGAATGTTTCTTTAGGCTTAAAAATGCTGTTACCAAACTGACCCTAAGTGCTGCTTTGAAATGCAGGTACAGTGTGAACTCAGGATGCATATTCTAAGTGATTTCTAAGTCCTGTAATGTGGAGCAAAGTAGAACTCTCAGCCAGTACCCACAGCAGACCCAAGTAAATATGTGACTACTTCCCCACCTTCTAAACTAACACAGGAAACATGATTGAATATTTCATACTGATAAGCCCACCGGTGTGCAGATGGTATTTGACTATGTTTTTATGGTTTGATTCTTCACAGAAGAAGGAACTACTATTACCAGTCCTTTCCCAGTTAATTCCTTTTCTGTAAAACCCATACATGATTCTAATTGCTCATTGGTGGGTAGGGGAAGGTGAAGAGAGACTCAAATAGTTTATTAGAGTTTTGTTTTGTTTTTTAGCTTATGTGTTTGCTATTTTTGTGAGAAAACATTTTTGAAGTTTCCACCTACATTATACCATTTTCACTAAGGGATGAAACAAACTCACAAATATACCACCAAATGATACCAGAAAGAAAGTTTCAGAACAAAATCCAACCCAATGAGGGATCTGGGAAGCATGTAAGTCAAGGAGAGGTTTAAGGTCAACTTTCTTTACCTACTATTATTCTTGTGTCTCTCCACATGAAATTTTTACAGTTCTCTAATATTTAGCCAAGACTGGCATTTATTTTGGTCTAAAAAATATGAAAGAATCTCCTTTTGCTTAAGGGTATTTTAGAGTTGACCTCTTAATGTCCCCACTATTTGACATGTATATTACATATGATCTTCATATTTATTAATTATTGCACGATACTGGCAAGGACATATACAGGATCTTAAAGGTCTCATTGTTGCCAATGTTAAGAGCATCCAGAACCTTCTGGGGACTTCTGCCGGGCTGACGGTGGATGCTGTGTGTCTCAAGATGCCCAGAAGCCAGAAGGTCATTAAGATCCTCAGATGTGACTTCCAAGTTCAAATATCCCCACACTGCTGAGCTAGACTCACCCCTCCTTCTAATCTGTTCTGGTAATTCCTCAACCACATGTCTTAGACTTGGATGTTATGCAGCCATGGGGAAAAAAAGTGGCAGTGTAGGTTTTAACCTTTAAAAACCTTCATTAGTCACTTAAACTTGTACAACCTTATTTGAATCCATTTCTTTGAGCTGAAAAAAGGCCAGTGCCTCGCCTCCCCCACTGTTAGAAGGAGGTGCCATGAGCCCAATAAAGTGTCCCAACATTTTGCCAGTTGGGTGAGTTCCTGGCAACTCCAAAGCTGCAGCTGCTGAAAGAACAGCCCAAGAGGAGGCACATAGTTCACTCTGTGTCCTCAGAGAATGGACTGTTTACACTATGGAAAAATATCAGATCATCAGTAAGTCCATTATGTTCTGGAAATATAGACATTGAAGCAAAAAAAATATTTTCTTGGCAATATCTATTAAAAGCCTTAAATTGTTCAAGCACTTGTTTTCAAAACTAATTCCAAGAATTTATCCTAAGGAAATAATCCTGGAGTTTACAAAATATTTCCTTGCTTGTTGGGTTTTTTGTATTGTTTGCTGTTATAAACATGACATTCTCATCACTAGCAAATGTTTATTAAAATAGCAAAAGGAGTTCAAAAAATTTTTATTTTGATCAAATACATCTATAGTTAAAACACCATGCAGCCACTTAAAATGATGCCTTAGTAGAAGATTTAGTGAGAAGGAAAATATCACACAAAATATTAAATTAAAAAACTGCTGCAAAACACATGTGGAGCCTAAGCCTGTTTATTAAATGAAACCTGCATGTGATAGGCTTAGCAGTATGCTAAGAGTTGTTATAAATGCTAATTATTATTAAGTACAAA